AAAATGTCGCTATTCTTAGCTTATCTACTGTTTTCAAAATAGGATTCTTAGCTTATCTATTGTTTTATTTGTAAGTTCCACACATGCTTTAAAATTCTACCGTAAAATATCAGTTTTCTAGGTAATTGCGTCAGTTTCAAGCTGTTGTAAGTGCAAATTTGAAATAATAGTATTAGTTTGTGCATATTTCAGTAAAACGTATTTGAGTTTATATTACGGTAATTTGTCATTTCTTAATAAGTACTATTAAAGATAACGAAAGAAGGTTATTAATTTTAAAAGGTGGTAGCAGGATAGGTTTTTTGGCCTTTAATTCAACGAGAGAAATATTCTTGGCCCAAGGGGAGAAACGTTGGACCACCGTGCCCTCATTTATTGAGATATTTTATAGCTGATGAAAGACTCTCGGGCAACAAGCCACGTCAAGTAGCTGCATGGTGAATGAACCATTTCTTCCGCCAACGTTTAGAGAGCCATCTCTGCTCTCATCCTCAGGGCAGTTCCCATCGGCGAGCGTGCTACATAGGACCAGTTTCGTTTCGCAGCTGCCCTGAGGATGAGAGCAGAGATGGCTCTCTAAACGTTGGCGGAAGAAATGGTTCATTCACCATTCAGCCAGCTGATGCGGCTTGTTGCCCGAGAGTCTTTCAACAACTTCATTCGCCACGAAAGCTTCACTTTATACATATTTTATTGCCTTCACAAATAGGAATATATAAGTTTAGGTCGCCCAAGCCGTCTCTACCTTACTGGTTTGTAAAATATGTTTCGTGCATATTTTTTTCTCATACTACATCTTCCTGTTACTATAGCTCACTTTGTTCCAATTTATTTTTTAAACAACATCATTCTATGTTCTTACCTTGAGGTGAAAGAGCAAATCTTACACCTATACAAAACAACAGGTAAAATTTAATTTGTGTATATTTTAATCTTTATGTTCCCTTATAGACATTATGTTAAACTATTTTGAGCTGAATGATACCAAGCGAACCCTGAATTCACTCTACTATTAATTTCTTCGTGAATGCAACTGTTCGAGCTATATTTGTAATATTATCAGTAGGCAAATCACTGTCAGCAGTTCACACATCCGACAGGAAACAAGCATCATCAGTTTTCCAATAACAGCCAATTCTTCAAGTTATGCGTGCGAAAATAAAACGACACATGAACAAAACCCTCTTACATCTCTACACAGATGGTTAATATTTGAATACATGTAAACAATTAAGGGAATCTAGTGGATTAATTACCTAGTAATGTATTAAATATCACTAACAGCTTCTAGGAAAGTCTTTCGTATCCAGTAGAAGCCGTTTGCTTACTAAGCATAACGAACGAAATTATTGAGAAAACTAACATTGATAATTTAAAATAGTCGGGTTGAGTGATAAATAAAAACATTATTATCTGTTATTCAGCAAATATTTATGGTACTCACTAACACGTCCAGAATTATACGCTAAAAATGCATTAATACACATTAAACATTTAGTAAAGTGCAACATCACAAATCCTCTTTATATACAGCAGCACAAGCGAGATAAAATTTTTTGTCGTAAATTGAAGTGTACAGGTTCCCGAACGTCACCGCCAATGAGTGGTTAGCTCTCCTTCGTATTATGAAGATACCGGGTTCAAATCTCGGCCCTAAAACCGGCTAAGCTCAGGTTTATCGTTGTTCTACTCAGTACCTCCAGAAAAATACTGTTATAATAACTTAAATTAAGCCACGGCATTTTCCTTCTGTTAATATTTTCAATTCATTAATCATCCTAACATTCGAAGATCTAGTCTGAAATACTGATAGCCTCGTTAAATTAACCACTAATTCAATTTATATAATACACAATTTAAATAATTCAGTTCAATACATATTTTCCATTATGACAAATGTAAGGTATGCTAAAGCATTGCACCGTCGCCATATTTCTTAAAGAATTATAAATTATGACTATTGACAATATTTCATATAAAATTTTACATTCCCTTCTGTAATGGAGCAATAATTGTCGGCATCGGACGGAAATCTAAACATGGATAACGCTCGACAGCCCTGTTGTTATATTTCAATCTACAAAAATGTTATTATCATACAAATCTTCAGAATTCAGAAATAAGTTGTTCACACTCTGAATTTCGCACAGGTACATATCGGTATTATATTGTAGAAAATTAATCATTCGGCGTTCATCTCAAATTTCTTTAAAATTTATAATTTGTTTCAAAGTTGTTCAGGGTGGATACTGACACAAATAGACGTATGTACAAACCTGTCATTGTAGGATTTCAGGTTTCCACAGCGATGAGTCCGAAGATGGCAGTCTTCTGGATTATTGCACCGTGCAGTTTGGTAGAAGTTTACCAACGTATCAGAGGTATTTGCAGAGTCCTGATGATGGAGGCATCAAGGACTTCTGAAATGTTGGTGAACTTCTTCCAGACTACACGGCGCAACGACCCAGGGGACAGTCATCTTCAAAACTATCTTTCCTCATAAAATAAATAGGCTGGGGTAAAAGTAACATGTTACGAAGTATGAGTCAAACGTTAAGAATCAGTTAGAGTAGTTGTAATTGTTGTTGTAAATAGTTTAAGTAAATATGACAAAACATAAATGTTTTTATTTATTGTATGCGTTAAATTACCAAAATTATTCAAGGGCATTGTTCATGTTGGTTATATAAAATATATGATCATTTACAATTAATTACCGTCTGCTTCTACTAATTGCAAAAGGTAATACGAAAATAAGTTAGTATCAAAATTGCCACTTATCACAATCGAAAGCATTACTTTGAGTCATGCCAATAGATGAATGGATTTTTATGTCGAAATTTAAAAATGGCAGGACGATGACAAGAAACGAAAGGCTCTAATAAGTGACTTGACATTTATAAGGCAGGGAAACGAGTAACATAAACACACATAAATTTGCTTCCGCCTACCTGTGATTTAACTGCTTAGGTTTATAGATTCCTTTCACATAAGACTTGTACTATTTTTTGTTAATTTGGGTTATCCACAAGATACATAAACCTCTTTAAGCAGTCAGTAGATATCGTCAATGTTTTTTGTGTAACCAAATACAGTATAAAGGCATTAACCTCAAACACGACATAAGGAAATATTGTTTCTTCCTCTTGGAATGGTTTTTGCTTATGTATTTTGACAACCAATACATTTTATAATTAGACTTCTCTTTGCAGTTCAGCTCCTCTTACATGCAGAGTGCGCCATAAAATATCTAGCTTCTACAACTGCAATAAACTTAACCTTCGCGTCTCTTAAACTGCATCTCAACCATGCAAACATACACCCAAAGAAACCGGGAGTTTATTTCTTTGCTGTAAAGTATCCCGATTTCCATAACGAACCATCGTTTTTTTGTAGTAAAATCTCCTTTACAGCATCTCTTGAATGCAAGTTTGTACTGAAATTCGAAGAATGTTGGGTTTCCTTTCAGACCTTTGAAATAAATTAGTTCACATGAAAAACTCAACACATCTATTGCATGTTGTCTCGAGCATTAAGGGAAACATTTATTACAGTCAGCAGGGCCCTATATTTTACATCATAAAAGTTTTACAGAACTAAAATTATGGCATCCTTCTTTATTCTAGAACAATATATTAATTTAACACATTCAAAAACTACGTCCACACTTACTATTCAAAATTCTTCCCAACACATTTTTCGCTACGTTAAAGAAACACGAGTTTTGGTACAGATACTTAAGAAATACTCGATTAGCGAAGCAATCTTTATATTAAACTTTTACTAAGAAAAACGATTCAGATGCTCTTTAATAGAATTGCAGGGCAGGTCACTTGGGTTCTGCTTTGCGGAAATGTGGCTTGTCTCACTGCTTGGGCTTTCGTTTCTAATGATGCCGTAATGAAAGCGAGCCAGAGATTTCGCAGAGGAACACAAGTTTTATATTTAATTTAATAATACTGTACTCTTTTTATATGATCATGCCCTTCTCTCTAACCACAATAGCGTTGCGTGAAAATGAGTAGATAATATAAAAGAACAATATTTTTCAATTAGTTTAACTGCATTAAATGTTAAATCGATAACAATAAAATAAGCTGGATTTTTATCAAAACTTCTGAAGCCACCGCCACTTCCAGACCTTAAATTTTTGTGAGAGGGATATAACTGTAATAACCTTCTAATTTGATTTATATTTATTTCTTGGCATACGACTAAATCTAGCTTACGTTGTTTCAAAACGCGGTAACTACGCTCTAACCTTAAGCTCTGTAGTGTACTTGAGAGACAATCGCTGTTGTCATAGGAACAAGCCTTTCCTTAACGTCAAACAGGCCACAGATTCATGTACTTATTAATTTTTCGTCAATACTGTCACGTTTATTGTTGTCGAATGGAACAAATATTTCTGTGATAATCATAATTAACATTAACATTGACTTTATAATTATTATCTTATTGACTCAATAATATGAAAAGTGGGCCAAAATTTAAAATTACCTTTAAGTACGATTTGCCGTCGCCATGTGAAATTAATTAAAAGTTAAATATATGAAATAAAATTAATCTTCCGAGGAGTACATAATGGTTTCAAATCAAGCCATGAACGTAGATTATATATTTCCTCTTTAAGCATATCAGTTTCCACTGTTAAATTCAGAACATATTTATATTTTCTTTAATACTCTTCAAAACCCGAAAATCTACAGACTGATATTGTATCAATGTAAGACGCTGTTGTATACAGAGAGCTGGGAGTTATGCTCGAAATTACAGTCAAATGGAAAGTTTTAATTTAAAAACAAACTTTGTTCTGAGGTTCCATCTGACACTGAAAAAGTTTTGATACAATAAATTTCATTTACATCTATGAAGCAGTCAAGCCAAGAAAGAGCAACAGGCATTTAAATATGCTTTATAAGTGGTTTAATGTTACACAGAGTGATGAACTTTGTATCTTATTCCTACATATTTTAATGAATCCGTACTAAAAAACTTACCTTTCATTCCATACGTCCACAGCTATACGTAGTCTGGTGACTAATTTCATACACACATCATATTATTACGTCACCAAAGAAATGCAGACATCAACGTCATTTGATTCTGAACGCACAAGACAGTATGTAAGCACACTGCAGGTGAAGGTTTGCTTCCAGCGTTACAGACAACTCTCAGGCAGTGACGTCAGCTTCATTTCCGCCCTTTTACAAACCCGTCTTCAATGAGTTTCCACAACTAGCTCTGAATGGCGTGGTGCTCAGTTAAACACCAGGTCCGACTTTACCTTCACCTTAACGCAGTTCTTTCACAGAACTTCCACATCTGCCACATCTCTTGAAATTCATCAAGTATAATCATCATGTTATTCAGCGCTACAGAATCTCAACAGTTAAGATAGCGCCATTAATTAAACAAAGGAAATGGATATGAGACTTGGCTTCTCATCGTAATAAAGGAAAACGGATTGTGGGTATTGGAGAACTTGATACTTAAGATAACACGAACTTACGAGAGAGAAAGTGATGAAAATCTTGAGGAGATTTGAAAATTGGAGGCTTCATCATTTTTACTCTTGGCCATATATTATTAAGGTGATTAGATAAATGAGATGGATGGGACATGTAGTACGAATGTGAACACTGAGAAATTCTCAAAAAAATAGTCGGAAAAATTAAAGAACTAGGCCGAAATTGGAAAATAATATTAAGTGAATTTGAAAGAACGAGGGTTTGAGGATGCTGATTGAATTTACATGGCTCAAGAAGAAGATCATTACTGAGGCTACCAGACACAGAGCCGTTTTCTGCAAAACGAATCTGTAATCGAAGCATAGAAAAGTACATTAACGGAACAGCTGATCTACTAAACTAAAAATATTATGTTCTCATTTGAATGTAAACTGATTATTGCTGTGTAGTAAATGATAATCTGTGTACTACTTGGTTATAATTTGGTACGAACATATAGGTGATTATCGATGCTACGGATGAATTTGTAGGCTTTATGTTCAGTATAGGAGCGAGTAGGTTAGGAGTGAGATTTGTTTATATAAGATGGAAATACGTGTACGACTTAGCCACCCTGTTCCTCCACCCTTCCACTATAATCCAGCCAGCCACTCTCATCCCTCCTGAAGACGAAGGCAGCAGATTTCTCTGAGACGTTGGTAGACAAATCACCTAGACGATGCAACAATCTAAACTTTTACCACCGTGAAAATCTCTCTTATAACTAATTTAACAATGCTATCTAAACATAAAATTAATTAAATGTTCAATCTGAAGTGCCGATGAACGAGAATGTGACGGTAGCGGATGTCAACATGTTATTCCGACAATGACATGGAATAACTGAAAAAAAAAAATAGGGAAACTTCAGAGAGGAAAACCTATATTCGAGCCAGATGATTAACAGATTAACGCAACGACATAATTACCCCATAACAGAGATCATTCCTGGGACAGCTGAGAGTCATTTTGATGACCAAAAAATTATCCGTTTTTGTGAAATCCGGAAGTTTATTCAATGCGTCGTAAACTCCGTCAATGGACCCTATTCAGAACCCTTGTAATATACTTCACACATTCACATTTCTGTAGTACATTTCTAACTTCACATAGGACCTGTCTCTCAAATAATCTTTTGTCTTGAAGCTTCTCGACATGCATTTCTTGCTTTCCGCCCTCAGACCAAAAACTCTGACAACAGTAGGCAGTTCAAACTGCACACCACTGTCATAAATCTTCAGCTTTAAGTCCTGATTATGAGTCTAGCTCCTTGTATCTTCTTAGATCCAACAATAAAATTCACAACCGACTACAACTACGCTGACATCTTGATGGACACAATTAATGATATGTCATATCCACAGTTGCATTTCTCTAATATATTAAAATCGTGACGGAAGATACTTCAGTGACTTAAAAGTGTTCAAAAAAGTAATCGATGAAGCACCAAATAAAAAGTATCTGGTCCTTTGGTGACTGCATTAGTCAGGTGCCTCGTGTATACAGAAGATCGGCGCATTGAATTCTGAAGCCGCGTGTACCGACTATTTTTCGTGTTTTTGTTCAGTCAGTTCAGAGAAGGATAACCATGGTCGAGCGGACTTGTGTTTCGTCTCGTCCCCTAGTTCATGGGATCCGTAGAAAAGAAGGAAACAGTCGAAGGAAGCAAGAAGTAAATAATCCAGAAGTAAAGAAAGACAAAAAGAGGACAGAAACAGAAGAGAGATGAAGAAAAAGAAATGATATGAAAAAGATTTAAAAACAAGAAACGGGAAGTGCGAAAAAAATTAAATTAAGATGTGTGTATGCATAAATCCATCTTTTTATGCTTTATGTGCAAAAACTGAAAACATGACGAGGAGATGAACATTGCACCAGCAAAATTATTCATTTTGTCTCTGAAACTACCGGGTGAATTAAGATTATATGATATTGAGGGTTATAAAGAATGCTTAATCTTCGTTTATATTCATCAAATATAACCAATAACTTGCAGTTTTATTAGAATTTATTGAGCCTCCCAAAGACGGGTCAAAGTACAAATTTTGATAGGTTACGGAATAACTATTGCTTCAAACATATTCGATATGACGAAGCAGACCTATAAGGAAAAGCACATTATAGTTCTGTGCAGTATTAACAGTATGTTCGTATCTTGAATAAATTACAGTCAAGGCCAGCGAGATACGACAAATTATACAGAACGCATTTAGGAATGCTGTACTGCTGTGAGTGTGCCAAATTGGGATACACATCACTGGTCCTGTTGGTCTTCAGATTTAAGCAATTTTGTATTTGAAATTTGCATTTTATCACTATTTATTTGTTTCCAAATCTGAATTTGTTGCGTACTTAGTTCGTTTAATCAAATATATTCAACAAATCATTGCATTTTACGAGAAATTCTGACATTCCAGACGTCCTTCGGCTGAAATTGTCACATTCTCACGTGTATTCAACTCTGCCAAGCGTCTCAGGAGCTAATGCATATTTAATAACCATCTGATGTTTCTCTAAATTCTCCAAAATCGGTACACCTGACTTTTAACCCGCTTAATGTTTACATTAAATTCTCCATATTTGAATACCTTCTATGTACTTTTAACTAGATATTTTCAGCTTGTTTTTCAATCACTAAATAATGATCAGTATTGCAGTCAGCTCCTCTGTGAATTCTATTATCAATCATATTTCAGTTGCCTGTCATCTTTTGTCAATTGAAACATTATTAGTCATGCTATGGCTGTTCCAAGTAGGGTAAATATGCTTAGATCTACGTACGTTATGATGTGATGCTGCTACTTTTACTGTACGGACGAAACGAAGAAGAAAGCATAAGTGGATCTCTGGGCGATACGTTGTGACGATGGAAGGTGGATGAAATTGACCCGGGATCGTGGCCAGTAACGGGATTTTGGCATCAGCGTTATATATATATATATATATTCTGTATGTGCAGACCTCTGTATCTGATTTAATTTGACGTGAATAAATCAGGGTTGACAATCCAAGGTCGCAAACCCGACCCACGTTACAATATATATGTATGTGTGTGTGTGTGTGTGGAAGAGACAGTACACCGTAAACCGGTGATCAGAATCACACCAACTTAAATTTGTAGATGAAAACAACTCAAATAATTTCATTTAATCATCATCAGCTTCCTTTTCAGTCGTGGTATCAATATTTATGGTACTAATAGACCCACATATCGTCAGTCGTGTAAGAAAAGATCTCAATACGACTCACTGCCGTTATTAATAGAGTTAATTTCATTAATCTCTGAAGATTACTGCCTTCTGGGATGTTGCGGCTTGAAGTCTGTTAGAAATTTACGGACGTTTCATAGGTGCTTACTGCCTCAATTACCAGGACAATAATGACTAGACAAGACTAGATGGCGCAACAATCCAGAAGACAGTCATCTTCGTAATAGCCGCCGTGAGAACCTGAAATCTCACCCTTGTTTGAAGTCTTTTTTTCTGTTATAAGGTAGGTACTGAAGTTGTAACCTAGTCCCCCTAAACATGATCGAACTAGTGCCTGTCTTCACGACCCCATACGAGGCCTTCTGTGTTCCTTCGTCAACATTTTATTTTGTTTATCTATAACTAAGGATATTATAGATAAACTCGAAATATTTCATGTAATTACAACGCGGTTTGGATAGGTCCAAATCATCTGTCATGTCCCGAGTCTGTGAGAGTTCCATAACACAGAATGTATTTCCTGTGTAAGGCTTATTAGCCGTGCGCCCGGACCCAAAGCTGAGGGACTGACGCTGTCAGCGTTGCGCCAATGTTTCTTCAACAACGTCGTACTTGCAGCTACCGTCCGTATCTGAGGCTGTCTTCTGCATCATAAACCTGAAGTCATGTCGTGGAGACAATGGATCCAAATACGCATTTTTGTTTCCAGTCCCATAATCGTCGATGTTTCTTATGCAGGTCTACATTTCTTTTATTCTCAGACACTCTCAATAAATACTAGGTAATATTCATAGTCTCAAACCACATTATTCGCCAACAGTGAGTTCATCTGTGTTCATTAATAACAGATTAGTTTTTTATGGTTTACACATGGAGGTGTGATCCATTGCCCGCCCAGAAAGAGTAATTATTGAAGTCTTTTGGTGGGGTTCCACTTCGCATCCGATAACAAGATGGGGGAACCAACAGCTTTATGTAGATTCAGAACCATAACTGAACCCTCAGGTTCGGGAATGAATGCA